ATTAAATTCTGCTACGCCTTCCGTTAGATCGTGATGTATGTACCGGATCTTTCTTCTTTTTGAATCCTTGAATTTTCAGCAGCTTCTGAATGGCGGTAGCGGTTGAAGCTGCCAATTCCTTACAATTGATAGCTTTCAACAGGCAAAATAAACAATATTCCGATTCCTCGTTCACAAGCAAGAGTTACTTTCACTACACTCTGTCAAGTTAGCTTAGGACCACCTATATTTTGGGATAATTCAAACGTTATTTGTGAAGTTTTAAAGCAACTGTTGATGTTTTATTGAGTTCATTATTTATACATTACATTGCAGTCATTTAGTTAAAACTTAAAGTTATATATGTATTTTGAGAGCATATTTGTTAATTTTTGCTGTCAATTTAGCTTAGAACCACTTCGGATTTGGATCAGGTTGCTGCGTTTTAAACGCAGATTCGGCATGCTGTTTACCAAGTTTTGGAGGACAGCCTTCTCAATATTTCCCCATGCCTCAGATATTGCCGATTTCAACTGATATACAGTGGCATACTGACGTCCCTCAGCATAAATTCTGCGAACCATAATGCCCCAGAGGTTTTCTACTAGGTTTAGGTCTGGAGACCGGGCTGGCCAGTCGAGCAGATCTATTTTATGGTCCATCATCCATTGTTTTGTTTCCTTGCTCGTGTGAATAGCAGCGTTGTCCTGCTGAAATGTGAACTCTTTGCGTCGAAATCTGCGCATGAAAGGTAGCAGACGTGTTTCCAGAACCGTGATGTAATCTCTGCTATTCATCTTGAATGACGTGAAGGCGATTTCTAGTTTACCGGATGCAGAAAAGCCACACCATGTCATACATGAACCTCCTCCAAACTTCCGGGTCGTGAAATATTGCTCCTCCTTCCTCAAATCGCGCCAGTATCCATTAAATCCATCGGGGCCGTCCAGATTAAACTTCTTTTCGTTGCTGAAGATCGTCTGCGCAAAAATAAAAAGTGTTAAAGACAATTGTTTTAATCATGCAATATTCACAAATTTAAATACTACAGCATCATGAGTCTGACTGATAACTTACCGTATCCCACTGTCGATTCATATTGTTCCGTGCAAAGTTTAAGCGTTTTTCGATGTGAGATGGACTCAGATTTGGAGCTTTTGCCTTTTTAGCTCGGACTTTTGACTAAAACTTGACGAACAGTCTCCCGGGATACACTCAAATTGAGCTCCTGCTTGATTTGCATCAGATATTCTGCAGAATTCGAACGATTCTAACAATCCTACGTTTGTCTCGTCCGGAAAGCTTCGATCGACGAGTCTTCTTCGCAATTTGACCATATCCTTCGTGATTTCTCAAGTAGTTGAGCACCACATGATGCGATCGACCAAGCCGGCGTGCTATTTCTCTAATGCCGACTTTTTTTCTGAGGGAATGCTTCAATTTTTCCTTTTTCCTTGTCGGTGAGTGCTTTTCCCTTCGACATTGTGATTATTAGCGCCACAAATAACTCCAAACTCACGAAAAGAGCAAGTGGTTCTAACTTAACTGGACACCGAAAAACATGTTTATGTCAGAATAAACACAGATCCTGGAGTGTACATCTGTCACTGCTATTTCATTATGCGGCGTTCACTAATACAAACATAATATAATAGGGTATGCTCAAAATATATATATTTATTTATCACCATATGGGTAAAATATCAGGTGGTCCTAAGCTAACTGGACAGAGTGTAGGTATCGATTCGAGTTTCAATCCTCTACTTGACCCACCATGACAAGTTTTTCGGTTTGGAGTTGGAAAACCACCGGCCTGCTGGGATTAGGATACTAATTGCCGTGCAATTTTGTAGAGCCAAACAAAAACAACAACGAGTACCATGTTATGATTATTCGTTTCGGTGAAATTAGGTCACACACACAGTCATTATTTATGAGCAGTTTCACTAACACTTGTGCTTCAAAGTTCCACCTTTGATTGACCGAGGCGCTGTTATTAGTGACGTTTGACATTTGCATGGGAGAAGGGAACAGTTGCCAGTCTTCTTGATTTGTAGTCTTCGTTTAAAGTCAATTAGAAACCTTTACCATTTGAACGGAGCCAAGGAATTGTTCGTTGCTTTTATGTAAAAAAAAGAAAAATTGATGAACAAAATCTTTCTAGAGCATGAAGTAGATGTTTGATTCATACAAGAAAACATTACTTCTTGTAAACTGAGACTAGATGAGACTCACCCTAATGGCTCAACCAAGACTCCCGGATATCTAGCTCAGTAGCATGAGACCCCAGAACTGTGTCACAGGGCCGGCATGCTACTGGGTAAATCGGAGGGGTACGCGGAACAAGCTGTGCAGAAACTGTGGGATTTCTTAAGTGATGGTGAAATTAATTGGAAGCTAAAGTGTGGGTGGAAAAAGTCTAGAAGTTTATCCAAAAGGAATTATGGTGCGGAAGGTTTTATTGGGCTATTATGGGGTGTGTTCTATGGATTTCTGCTTCCTTGGTACGTACTGGTGGTGTTTGCTGGACGATGGCGAGCGCTCGCTGGTGGTGATTGTATTTGGGCAGCTGTTGTTTAACCGTGATGGCGGTCCGTGGCATGATCACTCCGTCGAAAATGGCGGATCGGTGTCTTCAACTGGTCTGGAAGATGGCGCCTGGTGACTGGAGCTGTTGTCACTACAATGGCGGATTTGAGGCTTGGGTTTGCGCGTTGCGATGACGGTTTGCAACCAGGGAATATAGCAATCCCTGTGCAGCTACTAAAGTAGCCTTTTCGGTGTCAACGGCGTCTCCCTTCGTTGGCAAATATCAGCTGACCGTGACAAGGCCACCTTGGTCAAGCCGAGAAGGGTCTTCCTCCTTAACAATTAGGACTTCCGAGTCCGAGAATGCTCTCCTTTCTGGCAATTATTAAGCCGGAGAGTGGAAGGTCCTTGACATTTAGACCAAGACAGTCGAGACTGACTTGGTCGAAAAGTACCGATTGTGAGGGTATCCGTGGAATAAACCAAAAAGGTCTTAAAGGACAAATGGTTTTTTAAAACCAAGCCAAAATCATTTTTGGTCAAATTCAGTTACCTGAATGAACACCAGGAACATAAAAAGGTCATTCACTGCACTTTGGTTCACTTTTGTACTCCACTCACGTCTTCTAGGCACAAACGCCTGATTACTTCTGGGCAATGGTTGACCATCCCAGCTATCAAAAGCCCTCCTTTTCCCATCCAGTTTTCAATTCGTTCCTTATTTCCTCCATTTTCCTTCCTTGTAGCTTATCACCACCCATCCATATCATCTCCTTCGCCTATTGAGTTTTTCTACCACAGTTGATTACAACACCCTTTCGATCCTGTCACATTCAATTAAGTTTATAAACAAATATCAATTTCAAACTACCTACTAAGACAAGTTTATACATTTTTCAATAACAGCAATTTTACCTACAATCCTACTAACCCTACTAACCCAACACTGACACTAAACAAACACTACAGTTGCCTAAAACAACATGCACAAATTAAAACCTAGGATATTGTAACTAAATGATTACAAAACTTTGCTTGAAAGTATGAAAACCTCTTAGAACAGGCCTCTAGAAGGATCTTGTTAAACACCTTAGCTGAAATTGGATTACAAAAAAGATATATGAGGGAAATGGGTGTAATTTCGGCCTAATAGCCCCTTATTTGGGCCCATACAAAATTCAGGAATCGACTAAATTTTCAATAGCGACCACAAATATCCATTAGTACCGTCCCAATGACGCGTTCATCTAAATAAAATTGATAAATAGCAGACTTTTAGCGATGGGCCCAATCTTAGCTGCCTAAATACTAACAAAACAGCAGTCAGATTATGAGCTAGCGATCAAACGCGTTACAATTTTAGGCAATGTTTAAAAAAAATTTCAGATAGCAGAGAACAAACACGAATAAATCATATTTTATGTTCCCCCTCTTCTTCTCATGCTTATCAGCAATTTTTAAAAGGGGAGTAATAAAGGAATTTTTTTTAAACTGTTCCGGCCTAATTACCTAATTAAACAATATGTCAGAATTTAAAAATCAGTCAAGACCAGATAAATCTGCGGCAATCCTTGGCCCTGGTTGAATTGCCCCTGGAAAATATCCGGAGCTGGCTGATCGATTCCTTTGGTATTCACACGTGATTCTTGTATTTTCGCCGAGATTTTTCCGGTTTTGAGATGGCTGATTTGAGATGTCAAATGCCTTCTTGCTCTGTTAAATGTTTAACGTAGCTGCAGAAAAGATTTCCTCAACTTCAGATAAACTAAATATTGTTGGACCAGTCTACCGCAGCATATGCCGTATGATTAAAAATTCGACTCTGCTCCAGAGCGGAATTCCATTCCCTTCCAAGTTGTGCCATTCTGGGACACTCGGTTCGACAGATCAGCAGTCGACGTCCGCCGTCCCCGGAGATAGTGGTGTGTGTCGCGTTTAGGGCCGCACGCGAATCATCTCGCAGGATCGCGCGCACTCTGCTGCTGCTGTTTACCGTCGTCTTCATCGGAATCGAATTGGCGATTTTTAATTTTCGAAGAAATTTCTTCCTTTGATTTTTGCAGTAGTAGTAGTAGCAGTTGTTGTTGCTGTTGTTGGTGATGTAGTTGTAGTAGATGTAGCTGTTGCCTGCAGTAGTGATGTGCGAACTGATGCCATCCCGAGCACACGTTGCTGACATTGGACGGTTGGCTTAGTTTTCAGTGTTTGGATTTGAAGTCAGGACCCGGTGTATTTCAGTGGAATTTTTTCTCATTTTCCTGTGTTGTTTATCGGCTAGAGACAGAAAGTGTGTGGCGCACCTTTTGATCCCCTTTGGATTTTTGGCGACGAGTGAAAATTTGCTGTGTTTTTCCCGCCCGCCCCTCATCGATGTCGTTGCGTTGCTGTGACCGTTGAGTGAAAATCGCATTCGCATGCCGTCTGTGGTTGGTTAGATGGTGTGAATCAGAGCCAAATTAAAATAGACAGCATTACAATTGATCACAGATCACAGGAGCTGCAGCACCACGAATCTGGCGTCGCGAGCGCGTCACAAATCGGAGCAAGACACTTTTAGCAATCAATTGTAATTCGAAAAATCGAACCGATCGCTGAGAACGCGGTGCAGGAGGTTGTGCTGGAAGGAGGAGGAAAAATTCGGATCGGTGACACAAAAGGCAGAATCGTTTCGGGGTTGACGATTAATTGATTTCTCGCCTGCGGCCCACAAGCGTGCCCAAAGTGGAGGAGAAAGAAGCAAAACGCTTGTGAAAAGTGATTGATAGTTGTGATTTTTTTGATTGCTTGTTTTCGTTATTCATCTTAGTAAAAGTCTGCGCTTAATTACCTATTCATCATGGAAAAAGTGGTGAGTATACAGTTTCGTTGAACAAGGGTCGACAATTTATTACATTGTTTGAAATTTGTTTAATTTTTTTTATTTAGAAGGAAGGCGGCAGAGCGAAGATGGATAACGTAATTATAATTTAAAAGTTCAATGTTCAATGCTAACTTGCTTGCGATCAACTGTTTGAGATCGTATTTTTATTTTTTTGAATCGCAATAATGCCATTTTCGTATTATCATAGAGTCGAACATCATATTATTAATGCTGATGATAAACAATGATGCATACCAAGATAATTAATTGAATCTTCTCTAACATCTTTTCAATTCACAGGAGCTGAGCAAAGACCAGCTGAAAGGTATATTTTTGCAACAAAGTGAAAATTCTCATCCATTCTCGTGCCATAACCATTCAGAGTGGGAGGTGGGGCTGCCAAAAAATGAAGTGCATTTCAGTGACAAATATATTACTTTGGGGCAAATTAAAGTGAATAAAATAAAATAAAATAACCCCCACAATGAAATCAGCGGCGCGAAGTGAAAAAAATCCTTTCGGAAAAATCAAACATCCAAGCCAAAAAAAAAAAATGGAAAATATTAACCTCCGTTGAAAATCTATAAAAATAACACGCAGAAAAGATCGAATAAAATTCCTCCAAACAAGAAGTGAATCCGCTTATGATAAAGTGCCCTGATCTGCCACAAATGTGCGAAGTGAGCAAGAAGCAAACGCGGAATGTGCTGGTGTGAAAAACGAATAGCAATTTAAATGCTGCTGCCTCCGGTACTATTCCCGGGGGAGCGAAGTGAAGAGTGACCTTAGAAAGTTCGTTATTCAAAATCCCCACCCCCTCCCACGTTGAAGAATCCAAGGGTTCTGGCCACCGGGCCGGGAGCGTGACTCATCCGGATCATCCATCATCACCGTTTTGTGTTGGAATCGCCGCTGCCTATGCTGGATTTTGTTGTTGTGTGCACGTTGTAGGAGTTACGAGTGGTGTTACGTCACTGAAGTTAACTGTCCGAATCAAAATCGATATGTAGTGTGGATCGAGGTGATCGTCACCAGTTGTATGCTCGGTTCATTAAATGAGAAGATTTTATTTTTTTTTTTTATTTTTTTTTTCGTTTGTGGGTGGGATTATGGAAAGAATGAGTGATAAATGGTTGGCCAGTACGGAGATATATCACGATGTCAACGCAGAACATCGCGAGGAACGTACGGATGGCTTGTTCATACTGACCTTGCGGCAGTGATGCCTGAGTGGTGGAAATATGTCCCATTTCCTGGTGCTGGTGCGGTGGTTTGGATGTGAAAATTTGTATTTGTCAGTGGGCTTTTCAACTTGCTTTGAACCGTTCGAAAGCGGTACTTTGTGCCATGGCTTGCAACTTTTTCCCTTAAACTAATTGTCACAATGCGTAAATGTAAGGCTTGTTTTCCATCATCAGTATTGGTTTTTAGCGTTAGAAATATACGGAGATTAAAATATGTTTTGCAATGGGCACGAACTGGCTCTATGGACCAAAACATTTTCATTCAATTGATAGATAAAATCAGTATGTTCAGTGAATGTTGGAGTACTGCTGGTATTCATCAAGGTAAATATGTGCTATTAAAAGCATGGCTCACTTAGTAATGGAGCACTATCATGTGAATCCATTTCAGATTTGAATTAACGGATTTAAAAACGGTTTTCATTCAAGTGCATAATATTTCTTATATTTAAAAAAGAAATACGAAATGAATTGTTCGTCTCGGTTTCAAAGGAATTCTCGAACTTTTTCCTTTAAAACGACCCAACAAGTAGCGCACAACGATCTCACCCACTGTTTTGACGATTTTATCCCACGAATTTTTCATCTGAGCTGCCGTTTTGGAGACTGTACCTTTTACTTTATTCATAATTGCCCAGTAGTTTTTAATGGGTCTGAACTGGGGACAATTGGGCGGATTGAGGGTTTCGGAACTAACTGGACGTCGTTGTTATTGTACCATTGTTGTTCCCGGCTGTAGTGACAACTCGCAAGATCCGGTCAAAATGTCACCGGATCATCATGTGACTGGATGAAGGGCAGAATCCACTTCTGGAGCAGTCGGTTTTGTAAACCTCCAGTTAGTCCTGTGAGCCGCGGTGCCGCGCCGCCGGCACCGGCACCGGCAATTTTTCATGCGCCGCCGCCGCCAATAACGATTTTGAATTTAAATTTTGAAATATATGTTTCTCACCAACCGTGTCACCATAAACAAACAAGAATAACACTCGCAATTTTTTCATCGAACATGCAATTAATGGTCAATTTAAATGTTTTTTAGTAGTTAGTAGTAGTACTGCTCATCACAGTACACTCAATAGATGGCGGTAGCGTTTTAATGACGATGTTTTATATTGAAAAATATTCAATGTGTTACACACTTAGGCTTATTTGCTATTTTGTTTTGGCTCAGCGTTCCGTTTCACATCGTTTCATTTCGCTTTTTTTCCATTCCATCTTGTAAATGTCTTTGAGCAATTTTAATTTGCAGGGCGTGCAGATAAGTGCTCAAATTAAAAGCGGTCAGATTATTGGAGGTCTACGGTATTATTTTTTGAAACGTTGACCTTTGTATTGGTGTATTACTACGTGAAACCACAGACAAACAGACATACACACTTAGTTTTTTCATCCGTGCTCGGCTGTGAAAATCTCGGCAAAAATAAGTTTTACTGAGATCTCAGCAAAAGTGACATTTGATTGTTGAGTCTCGGATAATGCTTAGCTGAATCTCAGCAAACAAATGAAATGTTGTTTGTCTGTGGTTTCACGTAGTAATACACAAATACAAAGGTCAAAGTTTCAAAAAATAATACCGTAGACCTCCAATAGTCTGACCGCTTTTAATCTGAGCACTTATCTGCACGCTCTGCAAATTAAAATTGCTCAAATGGCATTTAGTAGATGGAATGGAGAAAAACGAAATGAAACGATGCCGAATGGAACGCATAGCCAAAACAAAATAGTAAATAAGCCTACCAGATACTCCTTTTTCTGATGGTCTTAGGGTTACTAGAACTACAAATTAAAAATGATCTCCGGTAATATACATGAAGTGTCGTTCATGTTAACGGGGGTCCACGGTACACGAAAAGAACATTGTTTCTTTACCATAGACCGGATTTTTTTAATCGGTCAACCGTTTCTAGAGCTACCGGAGTTTAAAGCACTTTCTTCTATGCTCATGGAAGCCCAGATAATTAAAACCCAGTAAAATTTTCTAGACCGGGCTGTTAATCGAACTTACCGTCATCAGTTTGGTGATATCGTCATAACTGAATAAAAGAGATGGTTGGATATGTAATTTATATATTTGTACCCGACTTGCACCCGATTCATAATATTATCAAGAATCCATACTCGACCCAACCCCAGAATGTGATTTTTTTAATACCCGTACCCGATCAGAACCAATGTTGCAAATATTCACATCAATGAACACTCAGTACCAGTATTTGAGAGATACAACTCACAATGTTCATTTTCCTACCAGGCTCTCACTACGAAAAGGACTGATAATGTGTTCATCTAACCAGGCTCTCTCTCTCTCAGTCATTGAGATTTAGTCGTTCTGATTCACCATGAATCTAACTCGAGGTCTGAGTCAGAGTGTGCTTATTGAGACAAATTGGGTCAGAGTGAGTCTAGCTGTTCGGTTAGTGCTTTCTCAAGTAACATTGCAGGTTTTATCGAGGTTTTATAGCATTCTACAAGTCCAAATCATGATCTACAGAACCCTCATAAAACCCAAATTGTTACTTGGGTTGTGAACTAAAGCACTAAATTCCGTACATTTAGTTTTATGCGACACTATTTTTTGGATTAAAACAGAAGGTGTCCATCTTTCCCTCATTGCTCTCAAGATGCCTCGTTAGCGCAAAACCATCCATTTGTTGCAAACCATTTCGCCTCCCCGCAGCAAAATTTAAGTCGTTTTCGTTTTTGAGGTGTAGCACTGGTGTAGTGTAAGCAGGAATAAGCGCGACAGCTTTGACAGCTCAACATCATTTGTTTGTAAACAAAGGTGCATCCTAAATCCAAAGGAGTAGCAAGAAGGGGGCAGGGGGGGGGGGGTGACTGGCCGCCTAAAATCAGCAACATAAACGCTTTCGGGAAATGGCGTTCGTTGAATTTCCATGGTAAATTTTTTTCGCCCCTGTCTAGCTCGAAACCTGGCTACGCCCTTGCCTACACCCAAACAAACAGAGAGGAAAAAGAACTCTCTTTCCCTTTCTTTGACGTGTGTCCGCATCCGTACAGAATAACCAGTAAAATCTTGCTCAACCATTTACTCAGTCACTCAGTGAAGCCGCCTGAAACTTGAGCGGCACTCACTCAGTGCCCGAGTTTCCTCGCTACCGGCTTGGATTTGTTCATTTCATAGAATGAATGGATAACGGTGTAAAAGTCAGAGCGTAAAATTATCGAGAGCTTAGGCTGAGTGTCAAAGCACTGCACTATTCAATCCATTGCTCTGTCCAGACCGTTTGTACCAAACGGTAAAAGACGAGGCAATGAAAAAGCCAACAAAAACATACAGTCACTCAGAAACAGGCGACTCAAACCACTTTCCTTGGCTCACACAGCATGTTGTTGTTTATTAATTTATTTGCTAAGGCTCAAGCGACTTAACTTTACAGAGCCGAAGATTCTTGGTCACTACCCGAGCAAAGTCTGAGATCAAATTGAAATCTAAATTTGATGTTGTGATTTCACTGATAATGATTGCTAAGGTTGCTGTCGTTTCGGTCGTTTTAACGGTTAAAATATCAAAATTGAGAGCAAAGCAATCGTCCTGTGACATCACATTGAAAACTATTTCTGCTATCAGTGAGAGCAAACTGAAAACTCAATTTGATATCAATTTTTGCTGTTGATAACAAAACAAGTATTCAATTTGATGTTATGCTAAGGCAATGAAAACAAACCCGTAACAACATATTTCTAAAGAGCAAATGTACAGCAAAATGAAAACAAAATTAGGTATCAAATTTGTCAATTACGTAAACTGAAATCAAATTATGATTTCAGTTTGATGTTGATATCAAAACTTGATTTCAATTTGCTGTCATTTTGATGCTGGACTTTTCTCGGGTGTACAATACATCTTAAAACTATAGTCAAAAGGTACAACACAATAAACACTTTATCTTTCGCTATCCAAAAAGCCTCCTCCTTCAGAACTGGAGGTCCTTCCAGTGGTTTCATTGTATGGCAATTACGCCAACAGGGGTCAGAGCGCTTCCATTGAAGAAAAACGTGGTCAGCACTCACACACTCATCACTAAACGGATGCTTTCCAAAGTCGACGACGCATCGACCG